TCTCTCTCTCTCTCATGGAGTTAAAGCCGAAATGAAGAATCGGTAGTCTTATTTCTTTTTTTTTGCACATTCGTTTTGTAGTCTAATGGAGTTAAAGCTGAAATGAAAGCACTACAAAATTCCACTTCATCTCGTCTGAAGAGGAGTAAAAGCAAAAAAAAAAAAAAAAAAAACGATGACATGAATAAATAAAGACGATATGAAAGGAAAAAAAAAAAAAAAAAAAAAAAAAAAAAAGGAGTACAACCACATTCCACATTTTTCGTTTGTCATCCAATGGAGTAAAAGCTGGAAAATAACAACGATGACATACATATCATCGACAACTGGTCGAAAGAAAAAAAAAAAGGGGGCACAAGATGATATGATTCACTTCTTCAAGTGCTTCGACATTTTCGTCGAATGATCTAAAACCAGAAAGAAAATTGTAAATGGACTAAATCCACATTCCACATTTTTCGTTTGTCGTCCAATGGAGTAAAAGCTGGGAAAAAACCAACGATGACATGCATAAATCGAGAAGTTGTCAACCGAAGAAAAAAAAACGTGCTCGCGTATTCACTCTATCATCATGTTAACTTCAGTGCTACTTGGCCAACCTCTACAACACACATCCTCCCACTCTCCGTTTCCCTCTCACTCAGTCTTATTTGCACTCGTCATCGTAGCTCACGTCCTCCTAAAGCAGGTGTCGGCATTTGCTCCTTCCCTCCAAAGTGTCGCCATTGCTGCCGTCGTCGTCGTTGTCGCTCGGTGTTTCTTCAACGCTCGTCGGTGGTGAATACAGGTATCCATTGGGTGGAGGGGGATTGGACGACGAATCCACGTGGTTGTACGTGGCGGCGGTTGCGGCCCATCCTATTGGACCGTGACTTGGCTCCGCTCCCCATCCGCCATTCACCTCATCGCCTGCGACCGTGTTTGTCCCCCACCCAGCACTTTCGGTATCGGAAGGAATGGCCGCCTCCACTGCCGGCATGCCCGATGTCGACGATGGGACCATTGTGGCACCGGGAACAGCGTGTGCAGCAACGTGCCACCGACCTGCTGAGTCGTCCCCGTTGTCGCATTGTTGCTATTCCCGCCGTCCACCATCTCCTCTCTCTCTCTCTCTCTCTCTCTCTCTCTCTCTCTCTCTCTCTCTCTCTCTCTCTCTCTCTCTC